GGGCTATAGTGAGGCAGCTATGTGGCCCCCGTGTCCCAGCCAAGGAAACTGAGGCCCAGAGAAGGCAAGCCCCTAACCAAGGCCACATAGCAGGCGAGTGATGGGGGGGGGGGTGTCTGGAGCCCAGACTGTCCCCAAAGCCTGTCATCAAGGGGTGTCCTATTACCTCCACCATCCAGACAAACAAACAAACAAACAAAACCTTCATCTTACGCCTGAGGAAGGAAAAGACCAGAGAGTGAGGGAGCGTGACTTATCCAAAGTCACTCAGCAAGTTGGCCTCGGAGCCTGGACTTGAACCTGGGGCTCAAGACTCCTGGTGCCGTGCTCTTCCCAACAGGGTCTGTTGGAGGAGCCCAGGGAGCCCGAGCGAATTGGGTTGGTGGGGGTGTTGGGCAGCACAGCAGGTGAGAGCCAGGTTCTAGAACCTTCTGGCTGGGTGCCCATCCCAGCTCTGCCACTTGGTAGCTGTGTGACCTTGAGCAAGTCACTTCATCTCTCTGTGCCCCAGAAAGCAGGTGTAACCCCGGCACGAGGCTATCATCCAGCTGTTATGGAAATGCAAGGAAATAACACTGGCTTAGAGCCGCCAATTTCAAAGTCCAAATCTTCACCCATCAGATGGTCCTAACACAAAGCCCACCCAGTATCACACCACCACACTCCCTGCACTAGAAGGAGTGTCATTTCGTGCTCATACTTGTGAAGAATGTAGCAGCATAACTGAAGGCAGCAGGCAGAAGAGCTGGGGGCTCTGTAGAAAAGGGGAAGCAAGAAAGGTGTAGGGAGCCAGCTAAGGGCTTTCTCCTCCTGAGTAAGAATGGCCTCACCCCATACGCACCAGGGTGTGTGATGAAGGGGCTATGTGTCGTGGGCACCTCAGTGAGAGAGAAGGGGTCCCCGGTTGGCCCCCTGACTCACTGCAGGGTAAAAGGACCCTTAGAGCCGAAGAAAGAGCAGCAGCCCTAACCACCACCACCATTAAGCCCACAAACGTTTGCTGATCACCCACCAGTGTTCTGAACACTAAGGGACCGGTGGGGAACGATGCAGAGAAACTCAGTCGCCAGCTTTGCAGAGCCGGTGGGCCACCCTGAGGAGGGGTCAGTGGCAAGTGCTAGAAGAAAACTCGAGCAGAAGACATGTGGGGGAGATCGATTTTGCACTGGGGGCTCAGAGCAAGCCCAGCGCTGACTCGAAGAAGTTTCCAGAACTCGTCTTGGGGCCATCTAGGGGAAAAGCATGTCAGGTAGAGGGAAGGACCAGGGCAAAAGTCTGAGGCTGAGTGTGCCTGGTGTTGAGGGCGAGTGTGACAGGAGTCAGGGATCATGATGGGGGTTGGGGGGAGCCCAGAGAAGTAGCCGGGAGGGGCCACAGGAGGCTGTGGCTTTGACTCTAAGTGAGAGTGGGGCCGTCGGAGGGGGCTGCGCAAAGGAGGGTAAGGATCTGGCGATTACTGGGCTGCGTGGAGAGCAGACTGAGCGCTGAGGGGGGGGTCAACGGTAGAAGCAGGGTGACGGCTGCAGAAGTCCACGGGACAGACGCGGTGGGGGCTCAGACAGGGTGACAGCACTCCGGAAGTGACAAAGGGCACTCACACATTCAGCAGGGACTTGGCACCTTCCCTGCACTAGTTCACCGATATCCCCGCCTCCAACAAGTGCTACCTGCCCTGGTCCCCAATCTGCAGGGCAGCAAATGGAGGCCCGGCCACCTCCTTAGTCTTCCCCAGTCACCTACTTCCTCAGGTTCAAGTCCAACCTCACCTGTGCTCCTGGCTAGCACAACCGCACCCCTGCCAGCCCATCTCCCTTCCCCCAATCACTATTTCTTTTCCAGGCCTTTACTCTGCTGCCCTCACCCCCAGCACGCCTCCAAGTACAATCGCCCAGCCCTCTGAGCATCAAGTCCAGAGGAGAAATCCAATTTGCGTGAAGGGCTCGGGGTAATTCTGTGTCAGGGCCACTCTCCCTCTCTGTTTGTTGAAGGAGGTTGATGCCCCTTCTTGGAAGAAGGAGAAAAGCTTTCTTTGTGCCCAGTCTGGTGAAATTGTGTCTGTTTAGGACAGGCTGCAGTTTTCTTTGTGACCGCGGTAGATTTTTTTTCCATGTGGGTAAAAGGGCTTATTAGATTTCCCTGTGGCTGCCCAGAGTGGGGAGAAGCTTTCCTGGGCACAGAAAGAAATTACCAAACAGGCGTTGGAGACGAAGGAGCCGTCCGCAGCTGCTACTCACGGAGAGGTCAGGATTTCGTGGTTGGTGTTTACATTGAGGGTGGACGTAAAAATGCTAGGAAGGAAGTTTGGGCGGGAGGGGAGGAAGATGCCCCTTGATGCCTCAAGGGGGTGGGGAGAGCAATGGGCAGAATTTTGATGGGGGGGGGGGCTGTTGGACGCTTTTTTCCTCTTCGAATAAAAAGTGAATCAAAAAATGGTCACCGAACACGGAAGAAAGGTTGTCATAGCAACGAAAGTTTGAGGCCAGGTACTTCCTGACAACCTTTCAGGACCACAGAGGCGGAGAGAGGCGGGATTAGGGCAATGGGGGGATCCGTCAGGGAGGCCATCCAAGCTGGCTCGGGCCTCCCAAATTTCTCACCGGCTCTGACGGGCTGATAACTATTTTCTGAGCTCTCTGGGAGGAAAACGGTGATCTTGTGGGAGGGGTGAGCTCTAGCCAACAGCGATCAAGAGAAAGGGGAAAGCTGTGCGTTTGTTTCATCAACCCAGCAAACGAACCACCCATGTGTTTATAAACAGAGGATTGGGGGTGAAGGTCTGAGGCAGAGTGTCCTCCCCCAGTGGTGCCCAAATCGGCCCCCCCAAACTGTCTCCCCTTATCACTTCACCCCAATTTCTGTCTGCCCCAGAGAAGACAATTAAGCCCCCCTCACCAGCTGGGGCACCTGGGCAAAAAAGCCTATCCGAACCCCCAATTCCTCATCTGACAAGTGGGCACCCTAAAAGGGGTGCTGGCAAGGCATCAACACGATCTAGCAGGTGAGAAGCTTCCATAGTGCCTTCCTGGTGTGCACAAAGGGCTCAGTAAATGTGAGCTAACGTGGCTTTAAATGTTGTTCAACTAAGCATGTTTAAAGCTGCCCGGGCTTAAACGTCCCGTGTCGAGACCTGGATGAACGACACAGAGGCATACACAGCTATAAGCTGGGGCTGTGACCTTCAGGGAAGAGGCCCGGCTGGCCACTGAGGGCCGGGACACCCCACAGAGGCGGAGGCCAGACAACTCCGGAGACATCGTACTGTAGCTTTAAGTACGGGCACAGCAAAGGTACAAGGAGGCTGCACAAAGGAGAAACTTGGTGGCAAGCCCAGGTGACAGAGGAGGTGCACCCCTAAAAGGTGCAGCTGTCCCCCAGGACAAGGCATTAGGAGGTCTCCGTGGAAGAGGTCAGGGAAAGCAGAAAATTTTAGCCACGATGCCTTTTGAGGTTAATTTTTTTTATTACGGGAGTTCTGAGCACACACCGCAAGTGAGCCCTGATGGGCAAAGACAGGTCAGAGGTGGAACCCTCTTCGAACAACGAGTGGCAAACAGCTGGCTTCACGCAGGTGGTCACAGAAAAGTTCAGCGGGGCACCCCCAGGGGGCAAGGCAGAGCAGAAAGCACCCCCAGGAAACCTCCGGTTCACCATTCCAGGGCCTCATCCAACATGAACCCCACAGATATGTATTGATGGCCTACTATGCACCGGGACACCTATCCAGAGGCTGGGGATGACAGCGAACCAGGCAGCCCTGCCCTGCCCTCACAGTGACACCCTGCGGAGATGGGGGACGGGAAGCTAGTGACCAGAGGCAGGCTCCAGAAATTTTCAGGTCGTGCCAAGCGGAGTGAAGGAGATGAAGGTGGTTGAGGAGAGGCAAAGCCAGGAAGACCCAGCCTCCAAAGGCAGTGGGGAGGTCTTCTCTCCAGGGTCTTCTGGAAAATCCCCCTGGGGAAGGGAGTTCCAGGCGAGGGAGCAGCCTCCTTGGGTTTATTTTACACCTTCTTCTCTCTGTCCTTTAGACAACCGGTCAGGCTGATGGCTGATTCAGGGCAAACTCTGCTGTCACCCACCCCCATCTACATCTGAGCACACACACCAGGCTGTGTATGCACACACTTTTAACCTTGGGGAAAGAGGTCAATTCGCTGGAGAGGGTCCCCACCCCCGGACTTAGAGCAACATGGTCTGGGAGGTGCCTGGTGACGTGGCTCAGCAACCCCCTACACACTCTACACACACACACACACACACACACACACACACACACACACACCGCCTCACTGCCTGCCGGGCAGACACGGAAGAGGTGCGGGGCAAAGGGAGCAGTTTGATCTGCCTTCTGAAAAGTCACCCCCCCCCACCGCCAATTCTGATCAGAGCCATCCCGCTTTCCCGCCGCCTCGCCCCCCTCGCGTCGCATCCTCTCCCAGGCGGGGGCCAGGACACGAAGGACTCCCCGGCCAAGCCTTCCCACCCGCCCCCCGTGCTTCCCGACCCCCTTCTGGGAGAATGACCCCCTCGGCTCCTTGGCTCCCGGGATCTGCGGGGAGTGGGGGGCTCAAGACAGCACTCGGTGCGCCCTCCCCTCGGCTGGCCGGGCCGGGAGGGGGCGTCCGGTGGCCCGCGAACGAAGGCGGGGGAGGGGGCGCGCCCGGAGACGAGTTCTGGCGCGGAGAGGAACGCGCGTCCCGCCGACCGGCCGCCGGGCTGGGTGCCCGGGAGACGCGCCTCCCCGGGGCGCGGCGACGTCCCCAAAGGCGCCCGGCGCTCGGAAAGGGCAGCGGCTCTGCCCGGAGCCCGGGGCACGGCGGCGCGTCCCGGACGCCCCCTGCCCGCCCCCCAGGCCCGCCCCCGCGCGCTCCCCGTCCCCAGGCGGGCGGCCGAGCCCTGCGGAGCGCGGGGACGGAGCGCGGGGCTGAGGCTCGGGCCGCGGGCGCCGCGCAGCCCCGGGAGGGGGGCCGCGAGCCGAGCCGCCGGCGCCGCCGCTCACTCACCGAGCCCGCCGAGCTCCTCCTCGCACGAGTACCAGATGCCGGTGTGGAAATTCCTGAAGAGGAAGCGGTCGTCGCCAGTCTCCCAGCTGTAGAGCGCGCCGCCAGGGGGGCCGTTCCCCGCGGCGGCGGCGGCGGCAGCGGCGGCGGCGGGGGCGGCGGTGCCGTTGGCCGTGGCGTTGGCGCCCGAGTTGGGGCAGTTGGCGCTCCCGCCCTGGCCGCAGCCGGGCTTGGGGACCCGCTGCGTGCCCTGGCACCAGTGCGTGGTGAGGAAGGCGGTGGTAGCGAAGAGCAGCGCCAGCAGGTTCAGGGCCACGGCCAGGAGCGCTCGGCCGCGGCGGCTCGTCTTCATGCCGCCCGCGCCGCCGGGGAGCTCCGCGCGCGAAGTTGGCAGCCGGTGCCCCGCGTCAGCGGCCGCTGCCCGCCGCGCCCCGGGGCTCGGGCGCCTTGGATCGGCGGCGGCGGACGCGGCGCGGGCCCATGCCCGCCCCCCCCCGGGGTGAGGGCGCGGTGTGGGGAGCGCGGGGGGCGCGGGGGGCGGGCGACAGCGGCAGAGCGGCTCCGGCGCGCCCGGAGCCCGGAGCGAGAGTGCACCTCGGTGAGGAGCCGCTGGCGCCTGGCAGCGGCCACGGCGCAGGGACGCGCGCCCCTCCGTGGGGAGACACCTGCAGGCGGCCGGCGACACTGTTCCGGCGCCCGCCCAAAGCAGGGAGAGGGGGCGCCCCAAGCCGGGCGCGGGCGGGGGACCCGGGGAGAAGAAGGGACGCCCCCGAGGAGCCCGACACCCGATTGGAGGGGCAGAGAAGCAAGGAGAACGCCAGGCAAGGCGCTCTCGGAGAAAGAGGCTCCTCTCGAAGGACGTGGGGCAGCAAAACGGGCCAGGAGGGGTCACCCTATTCAAGACGCAGGGAGGCCTTGCCCTGGGGGGGGCAAGGCTAGAGCGCGCGGGGTTCCCCAAGAGGGACAGGACCAGAAGAAGGGATCTCCAGGAAGGAGCCCCAAAAGGTCAGAGCTGCAAAGTTTTCTGCGTTTCCCAAAGCCGGGGAGCTTCAGGCTCCGACCTGGAGTCCCAGGGCCCATCCGAAGGGATGTCCCTCCAGGAACGCAGGGCTGTGGAGTCTTTTGGGGCTTGTGCTTTCCCGGAAGGCCGCCCGGGTGGGGCCTCAGACTGTGAAGTCGACAGAAAAGGTTTCTCTGGCAGGAGGAAGCTACGGTCACCTGGGCTCTCTATGGCATATGGAACAGCAAGAAAGGTGCCAAAGAGGTGCCCCACACAGGATGCCAACGGTTGTGTGTGACAAATGGGGCTTCCTCCTGCGGGCCATCCCCACCTGAGACCCTGAGCAGTATGACCCAATGAGGTCTAGACACAAAGTTGTTGGAGTTGCTAGGTAAGGATGCCCAACGGAGGGTGCCCACCCAGGAACTTCAAGGTTGAGGTCGGGGCAGAATGGTCAAGGATGGTAAACCACCACTGCCACCAGGCAGTTCCCGGGCCTGACCAGCTGTGGGCTTTGAACAAGTCATTTCACCTCTCTGAGGCTCTCCTGATGAGATTGTGGGGGGGAGGGGGGGAGGAAAGCATCTGGAACGTAGTAGGTGCTCAGTAAATGCTAGCCACTGTGATTAACTTCTGAACCAAGACCAGTGGACCAAATGCACACACACCTTTTCAGGATCTCTTGTGCAGTGGGATTGCCCAACTGTGAGCACCCCGGTCCCGGCCTCTGCTCTTAAGATGACCTGAACTTCCTTCACACCAGCAGTGCATGGGGCCCAGATGCCGGGGGCACAACAATTAATCGCATGTTGATTGCAAGAGCTCATCTGAATTCCGCCCAAGCTGAGAACTACTCCAACATCCCCCGGCTTGTGGAATGGCCGGGCTTGCAGAATTCAAGGTTAACCGATTATGAAATTACCTCACTCTGGTAGGTAAAGCTGTGGTCTCTGTCAGCCATTGCTACTCCGCCTGGGGGTGGGTGAGAGGGATCGTGGGCAGCGTCCTCGGCAGGAACTGCTATGAACGATGGCCACGGGTCCCCAGGGATCGTGTGCATTAGATCCCTATCCGAGGCATTCCCAGCTGTTCTGAGAAGAAGGACCTCCGTGCAATACTGATGGAGTGGAGGGTACTGGTTGACAGGGAAAATATATCATGGCCAAAAAGTTGCAAGGACTTCAGTATCCCTTTTAAATACGCATGCAATATTCATCACAGAAGTATCTGTACGCATTTGAAAATCAGGCTCAGATAGAGGCTTGTGACAATGGCTGGAGCGCCTGTGGCCAGGACTTGGCGACCTACAGGCTGGAAACTGTCTTGGGCATTCAAAGCCAGCAGATGCCAACTGAAATATGTCTCAGGGACCGTGCTCTTTTCAGAAATACCCAGAGGAAGCACAGAAGGGTTTGAAATTTCCATCTAAGACCCTCTTCCACTCGTTGAGCACCCACTGGGTTGCTCAGAACCAGGGAGAGAAGAGAACACAAACATTAACACCTATGGATGTAGGGCATGCAAGTATTAAAGCCAAGGAGACAAATAAAGCAGGGAGGGGGGGTAGAAGTGAGGGTAGCAAGTTGTAATTTTAAAACAGGGTTTCAAGGAGACCCCACAGGGAAGGTGACAAGGGAGCAATCCATGGGGATATCCCAGGAAAGGAAGTTACAGGAAGAGGGAGCTGCCAGTGCAAAGGCCCTGAGGTAGCATGATAACTCAGAGAGCAGTGTGGCCCGATCTGAGTGGATGGCGGCGAGGTGGGGCAGGGGAGTGGAGAACAGCAGAAAAAAGGTTGCAGAGGTGATGGGGAGAGAGTGAGAGATCATGGTCTGGGCGGGCCCTTATGAGGACGATGGCTTCCACTCTGAGTAGGGTGGAAGCCTCAAGCAGCTCCAACCGGAGGGGAGATGTGACCTGACTTAGGGTATAACAGGACCTCTCTAGCTGCTGGGTTAAGGAGAGTGGAAACAGAGAGACCATCTAGGGGTAGTGAGTTAATCCAGGCAAGCTAACACCAGTGGCTCAGTGCAGGGTGGTGCAAAGGGGTTCAGGGTCAAGTTTAAAAGCAGATCCAGCAGATCACACCCAAGGGTCAAACACAGGGTTTGAAAGACAACTCTTGGGTGTTGGCAGATACAGAAGGCCCTGGGAGAGGCCGATCTGGGGCCACGTGGGGAAGGTCAGAACTTCTGGATGATTCCACATCGGGCCTTATGCTCGAGGTGCAGATAATGACAACGAGTGGAGTAATGTCACTTCATGTGCCTGCACATCCTTCCAGAAACAAATGGAAAGTCATCAGGCCACCCCTTGGAGAGGATGCGTATTTTCAAATAGCCATTAACAGTTGCAATCCCCTTGGCTGTGGCCGGGTGTTAAAGAAGATTCGGTCTTGACACTTGTTAAAGATGGCGAGGCACGCTTTCTTTATTCAGGGGGCCAAGCAATGGCGGGTGGGCCTGAGGGGAGAGAGGTGGGGTTCAAGTCTGAGCACAATCAGGAGAAGAAGAGGTCTGTAGCCGGTGAGGGTCAGTGGAGGGAAGGCCACTGAGAGGAAAAGCACATCTAGAAGGATTCTGGCTAAACGGACTTGGCAAGACTTCTGCTGACGACAGCCCAAGGGGAGAAGATGTCCAGGGTGGGGATGAGGAACTCGAATGGCTTTCAAGGGGGAGGGATTCTTGCTCAATTGACCCAATGGACTTCTTGCTAAAAGGGGACTAAGCAAGCCCAGGACAGAGCCCAACGTCAGGGCCTGATTACACATTGGGCTCAGAGGGGCCTGACTCTTCTTTGGTCAAGGAGAGTCTATGTCAGGGGTGAGTGCAGGTGGGATTTGTTCAGGGGGCCACAAAGGTGGGCCCAAGGCCCTGGTTCTCCTCTCTTGAGCCACCGCTGTAGGTCAAGGCCCCAGCAGGACCCCCCCCCAGCTCCCTCCCCTGCATTTGCGATCAGCCCAGCCCCTCTGCTTACCCTCCCCAAGTAACCCCCTCCCCCCATTACCTGCCCCAGGACAAAGTCTAAACGTTCCTCCAGCTCCTTCCAGATGGGCTCCGGCCTACATCCCCAGACCCTTTGCCCACTCCTCCCCCTGCTACGGACACCAAACCACTTTGCAGTTCCCACTACCCGGTGCTCAGACCAGACTCTGGGTCTCTGGCTGCCCCCCTTCCTCTGCTGGAGTGCCCTGGCTCTCCTTTTCTGGGGTGTCCTTCAAAGCGCTATTTAAACATCACTCCCCGCAGAGCCCTCCCCGGCCCCGCCCAGCCCTCCTCTGAGCTGTGAAGCCTGTGTCCACACCAGTCTCCCTGACAGGCCTGGGGACCCCTCAAGGTGACTCCCGCTGACGGCCTGCGGGCCAGTCTGGCCCATAAGCATGTTTTGTCTGGCCTGCGTGGACACGCCTCCACGGTGTGTTAAATTGTCGTGAGTTACCAACATTTTATTATCATGAGGTTTCGTATAAATACCTAGACAGACTTCTAGCTTCTTTTGCAAGATCAGATTATGTGCCCACACTGACCCCACATCTTTGCATGGTGACCACTGGCAAAAGTCCCTGTACGGGGGGGTCACGGGGGACCACAGTCCCTCTGGGGCCCTTCCATCCTCAGAAACACCTGTCTGGCCCCGGGAAGGGGGGGCGCAGCGCTGGGGGCATTTGAATCTGAGAACCCAGAATCAAAGCCCGAAACATTTTTAATAATACCAATCCATGTTATGATGATGGTTATACTCATCCATCCCAGCATGGTGGCTGGGAATGGTCACGTTGGGGGGACCCTCCAGGCACTGCCCACACAGGTTATGTTTGCTTTATGAAAGCTCATCAAGCTGAACAGCTGACACTTTTTTATATTCAATAAAATTAACCGCAAAAGAACGTTGCTATTCATAATGAAATTGCTACTTTTCAGGAAATATAAATATGCATCGAAAGGACATGACCCACTTGCATTTTGCACCCCACTTTTCCTTGGAGCCAGCTGATACGATGATGTTTGATAGCTTCCAGGCCTCCTAAGTCACTTCCTGTTTCCTAAACCTTCAAACTAGAGCTTGGGACCCAGGGCAACCCTGGCTTCTGGGCCCTCCTGATTAGGGATTAGTCAATTAATAATTATCGGTGAGGTTTTTAAACATTGCTTCACAAGGTATCTAAGCATGATGCCCTCTTTCTCCCCCTGGGAAAGACACCAGTCCAGAGTTTCCATGAAAACCTGACCCTCAGGGCGAGTGCAAAGAAGTCCCAGGGGGTGAGTTCTCCAGAGGAGAAAGGAACCAACTTCATTATAAGATTGACATGTTCTCTGAAACCATCTTAGCCATCCCAATTATTGTTCAAGAAGAA